GGCGATTATTCAATTTGCGGATGACGGAAGGGGCATCGGTAGCACAACACTTAAATGAACTCAACACAATCACAACCCAATTGAGTTCAGTGGAAATTGAATTTGATGATGAAGTTCGAGCTTTAATTCTCTTATCATCTTTACCAGACAGTTGGAATGCTACTGTTACAGCAGTCAGCAGTTCGTCTGGAAACAACAAATTAAAATTCGACGATGTTCGGGATCTGGTACTGAGCGAAGAAATTCGACGGAGATAATCGGGTGAAGCATCAACCTCCTCAACCTTGCACACGGAGTCCAGAGGGAGAACTTCAGAAAGAAATTCAAATCGTGGCAGATCGAAATCCAGAAGGGGAAAATCAAGAACAGAAAATAAAGATTTTACCTGTTATAATTGCGGCAAGAATGGGCACTTCAAAAGAGATTGCCGAGCACTGAAGAAAAATACCGGTGCACAGGAATCTGCCAACATGACGGAGGAGACAAGTGATGCCATGATTTTAAGCGTCAACAGTCCGATTGAATCATGGATTTTGGATTCAGGGGCATCTTTCCACTCCATGCCATGCCAAGAAATCATGGAGAACTATGTCAATGGTGATTTTGGGAAGGTTCATATTGCTGATGATGAAACCTTGAAGATCGTCGGAAAAGGAGACATCTGACTAAAGCTGCCAAACTAGACCACCTGGAAGCTGACAGGAGTGAGACATATTCCTAGTCTCAAAATAAATTTGATTTCTGTAGGACAGCTTGATGGAGAAGGATACAGTACAACCTTTTCAAGTTGTGAATGGAAGATTACCAAAGGAGCACTCGTCATTGCTCGTGGTAAGAAGACTGGTACTCTCTATGTAACCTCAAATTTAGAGAATATCATTGCAGTAGCAGATGCTGATGGAAAATCAAACCTATGGCACCAAAGGCTTGGCCATATGAGCGAGAAAGGTATGAAGACACTTTTGTCAAAGGGGAAGATTGGTTCTTTGGCAAACAAAAGAAAGTCAGCTTTGCAAAGATTGGTAAGACACCCAAGGCTGAAAAGTTAGAGTTAGTTCATACTGATGTATGGGGACCATCTCCAGTTCCATCTCTTGCAGGCTCATTATATTATGTCACCTTCATTGATGATTCTACAAGGAAGATGTGGGTTTATTTTCTGAAGAAAAAATCAGAAGTCTTTGATACCTTCAGAAAATGGAAGGCTATGATGGAAAATGAGAATGGTATGAAAGTCAAGCGGTTGAGGTCTGACAATGGAGGATAGTACAAAAATAGGAGATTTAGAGATTTTTGCGCAAACAATGGGATCAAGAAGGAGACCACAGTTCCCATGACACCGCAGCAGAATGGCGTAGCATAGCGCATGAATAGAACTCTGAATGAACGTGCCAGAAGCATGAGGATACATGCCGGATTGCCTGATCAACCGTGGGCCCTCAGTTCCTTTGGATGGCATAATACCAGAGGAAGTTTGGAGCAAGAAAGAAATAAACCTTTCACACTTAAGAGTGTTTGGTTGTATTTCTTATGTACACATAGACTATGCTGAAAGAATTAAACTTGATGCAAAGTCCAACAAATGTGCCTTTGTTGGTTACGGCGGTGATGAGTTCGGTTACCGGTTTTGGGACTATGAAAATCGGAAGATCATTAGAAGCAGAGATGTCATTTTCAATGAGAATGTGATGTACAAAGACAGGTCAACTGTAGAATCAAGCAGCTCCAATACCAAAGCCGAAACAAAGGAATTTGCTGAGTTTGAGGAGATTTCTGGAAATGATGTTCAGATCAGTCCTGAAGTAGTTCAAGAAGAACCAGGCACACCGGAACTAAGACGCTCCTCCAGAATTCCTAAACCAACCCAACGGTATTCTCCTTCTTTGCACTACTTGTTGCTGACTGATAATGGTGAACCAGAGTGCTATGATGAAGCAATGCAAGTGGAGGATTCAGTCAAGTGGGAGTCTTCCATGAAAGATGAGATGTACTCGCTTTTATCAAATCAGACGTGGGAATTAGCTGAATTACCACCAGGCAAGAAAGCGCTTCACAACAAGTGGATTTACAGGATCAAATAAGAGCACGATGGGAGCAAACGCTACAAAGCGAGATTGGTTGTCAAAGGTTTTCAGCAAAAAGAAGGTATTGACTACAATGAAATTTTCTCTCCAGTCGTGAAACTGTCTACAATCAGACTGGTGTTAAAAATTGTAGCTGCAGAGAATTTACATCTTGAGCAGTTAGATGTAAAGACAGTTTTCCTTCATTGTGATTTGGAGGAAGAAATCTATATGAGGCAGCCAGAAGGCTTCATAGAGGCAGACAAGAAAAACCTGGTATGCAGGTTGAAGAAGAGCTTGTATGGTTTAAAACAAGCTCCTAGACATTGGTACAAGAAGTTCGATAGTTTCATGTGTAGCAGTGGTTTTACCAGATGCCAAGCAGATCATTGTTGCTATATCAAGATGTTCGACAATAGCTTCATTATTTTATTGTTGTACGTTGATGACATGCTCGTTGCAGGCTCAGACATGCAAGAGATTATAAACTTGAAGCAAAAATTGTCAAAGCAGTTTGCTATGAAGGATCTGGGCGCTGCAAAGCAGATTCTTGGGATGAGGATCAAGAGAGACACAAAGTCAGGGACTTTGATATTATCACAGGTTGAGTACATCAAACAAAGTACTCTTCAGGTTCAACATGCAAGATGCTAAACCAGTAAGTACACATTTAGGTGTTCATTTCAGACTCTCCAAAGAACAGTCACCAAAGACGGAGGAAGAACGTGCACACATGGTGAAGGTGCCGTACGCCTCAGCAATTGGAAGTCTGATGTATGCCATGATTTGTACCAGACCAGACATTGCTCAAGCAGTGGGAGCTGTTAGCAGGTACATGAATAATCCGGGCAAGGTACACTGGGAAGCAGTCAAATGGATCCTCAGATATCTGCGGGGTACCACAAACAAAGCACTTTGTTTCAAAGGTGGAGATACGATACTGACAGGCTATGTAGATGCTGACTTAGCCGGAAATGTTGACATCAGAAGGAGCACTACAGGGTATGTCTATACTTTAGGAGGAACAACAGTGAGTTGGGTTTCTCAACTACAGAAGATAGTTGCTCTCTCCACAACTGAAGCAGAATATGTCGCTGTTACGGAAGCTAGCAAGGAGATGGTTTGTCTCCAAAGTTTCTTGGAAGAGTTAGGCAAGAAACAAGAAAACAATGTCTTGTATTGCGACAGTCAAAGTGCTATACATCTAGCAAAGAATCCGTCTTTTCATTCCAGGACAAAGCACATACAATTGCGATATCATTTTATCCGGTCTCTTCTGGAAGATGAGATTTTGAAACTTGAAAAAATCAGTGGAGCTCAAAATCTGGCAGATATGTTGACAAAGACGGTGACTACAGACAAACTGAAGTTGTGTTCAACTTCAGTTGGCATGCTAGAGTAACAAGACTAGAAAAGCTGTTGCATTGATCGATGTGTGAAGACAGATTAAAATCAGTATTCAAGTGGGAGATTGTTGAAAGTATTAAAATGGTTTTCAAGTTTGGTAACCAACTTTGAAAAAACGGTTTTCAAAGTTTGGTAAATGTTTCTTTGAAAATGGTTTTCAAAGTTTGGTAAATATTTCTTTGAAAAATAATTTTTCAAAGTTTGGTAGATGTTTGTTGAAAAATGATAATGGGATAATCACAAGTAATCCCTAGGTTTTAGGGTATTTACAAGATTAAGTCCTTAAGTTTTAACTATAAATACCCTAGCTCATTTAGCTTCAAAACCATCCCAAAAAAATCATTTATTTCTCCCAATACTAGAGAGCTTTCTTGTGAGTAGTGAGTGTTTTGTAAACACCTGTAAATTTTCTCTCTTAGTAAAAGATCTGTAGCAGTCCGGAGACGTAAGCACAATTGGCTGAACTCCGTTATCAATTTCGGGTATTATTTTTCCGCTTTTATTTTGCATTCTCACTAATCTGGTTATAGAAAATTACTTGTACTTGGTTTATTTCCCAACAAATCAGAATCAAACGATCGAGAGAAAACTATTTACGGATATAAATTGTGTGTATCAAAGTCTAATATGTGAGTATAAAGAAGAGAATATCAACAAAAAAATAAATTAGAGCCATATTGATTCGTCATGTCGACATTAAATATAATCTTTAAAAAATTAAACGAAAGAAAAATATGATCGAACAACCGATAAAAAATGTTTCAAAAAATATAAAAATGTACAATAAAAATATAAAAAAATATGTCATAAAAATAAAATTATTAAAATTTTAAAAAGTCAAATAAAACAAAAATATGATACTAAAATAAAAATATAAACAATCAATGATGAACATTAAAATTAATATCAATATCCTTTAAAAAAATTATATCTTATTTGACATTAAAATTCGTATCAATAAGAAAAAAAACTATTAATATTGATAAAAAGTTCTACTTATTTTTTGATTATCAATTTAAACATTCAATTGAATGAAAAAGCATAATTATTATTTTTAGAATAGTTTGAAGGGGTTTTGAACGTTCCAAATAAAAGAAACAAGAGAACATGTCAAAAACAAAAGCTTTAAAATTGGCAAATAAATTTAAAATAATAATACTAATAAAAAGCAAATAGTGAAAAAGGCTAGACCTGCAAAAGAGAGCGATGCCCACGCCACCACCACCACCACCACCCTTCGAAACGGACTTCAAAGTCCTACATTCAAATTTAGTTAATTACTTAATTTGACAGAAAAAGCAGACAATCCAAAAAGAAAAAAAAGAAAAGCAGTGGATGACTCATCAATGAGATCTGCTCGCTCCGATCTACACGCGCCTGTCTCTATCATAATTAAACAAAATTTTATTTTAAATTTCAAATCCGAGTTTTCTTTTAATAAAAAATTTAAAAATAAAAAAGGTAAAATTGAAATTAAAATTTTCCAAGTACTATATATTCCCCGATCTTTATCTCTTCCCCACTCACCCAATACCCGCATTTTCTCTCTCTAAAACCCTTCTTCTTGTTGTTAGCCAATCACTCTCGGCACTTCAAATTTTATGCCATTTTGGCCCTTTATAAATTCCCATCTTCTCTTCCTTCTACCAGCAACCTACTGAATTGAAAACTAAGGTGTTTTTCTGTAAATTCATATTTATTTTTTAATATATCGTGGTAATGAAGGATAACCAAGGCAATAAGAAGAGAGATCGGAAAGAGGCTGACGATATTGAGTCAGATGCTAACTCGGTCCCCAATTTAAAACTTGCACGAGTTGAAAAGGATGATACGGATGCCACTTCCGTGTCTGCCGAGGCTACTCATGTCGAGCTTAACCCAGATGATGAAAGTGTTCAGTTGCCGGAGACAAAACATATCCCGGAGGATTTGCTGAACATCTTAGACGATTCCGATTTGTTCTCAGGACCAGTTCCTGCGATTCAGGGACTTGACTCGGTCATCAAAAGTTTCGAAGAAGAGATCCTAATTCCGGGCCAAGCGGAGTTACCGGAAATGATATTGAATTTCGACGAGCCACGGCCGGAGCTCGGTTTTCTGTTCGAAGCTTCGGATGATGATCTGGGTTTGCCGCCGAGTTTCCCGTCGGTCGAGGCGGAGCAGATATTTGAAACCGCCTTGGACGTGGAGGAAGGAGGTGTTTCAGGGGGCATTGGATTTGCGGAAATGATGGGGAATGAGTTCCCCATTCCGATGTACGACTCGTTTGAATTCGGAATCGGCGGCGATTCGGGTACCAACAACAATATCCATAGTAATAGCGGCGATTTTGTGGCGTTAGGAGGTTTGTTTGAACCCGCAGCCGATATTTCGGAGCTGACGTGGCGGCCTGAATCGCTTCCCGCCTTGTAGTAATAAATAAATAAATAGAAGAAACAATCGAAACGCGGCTCGTTTCGGTTTCGTATGATCAACGTGGACATGTATATTTTTCATGGTAAATTACATAAATATATACATGTGTCCGGATTTAGGTTTAAGCCAAAATATAATTTCTCGTAGTCATCAGTTCAATTTATTTAACCACCTTGTGTTTATTTTGTATTTTTTTATACTTAACCCTGTTGATTAAATTTAATTATGATAAATATTTATCCCAAAAAAAAACTGAGAGAATTGCTTAAAATATGAGTATCGAATGTGAAATAACCTTTCCATTTTTTATATTCTTCTTAAATCTATCAAATAGATTGGGAAACGGCCACAATATCCATTGAAGAAGTTCGTTCTTATATTAAATAAAGTTAAATTTTGGCAAACAGTTTTGGAAGGGGTAATGTAAAATTTTTAAATTATTATATATTTTTAATATTTTTATTAATAATTTATTTTTAAAATATTAGTAAAAAATTATCTTCATATTTATTAATAATCCCTCTCACTCTCCATAATATTAACATATAAAATCATTAAAAAATAAACAAAATCAAAATTTAAGATTAATTTGAAAACAATGATCAAAAGAACGATAAGATAGAGGTTCGATTTTAAACTTGGGTTGTTAGACATTTGTTATATGCGGATAGGGTTTAACTTATCCATATTGTTATCTTTACCATTCATAATTATCGTAGCAGACAATTAGCCTTTCCTAAGGCTGTTTTGCAGAGGAAAGATCAGTTTTGCACTCGGCTCTTTGGAAGAATAATGACATTGCAGGAAGGAGGTGAGAGTGGGCTGGAGCTCTATTTGTTATCGTAAGTCAGAAGGTGGGCTGAGACTTAAAGGTCTGGTTGTTTGGAACAATACTTGCTTTATACAACTCATCAAAAGTATTTTGATGAAGGAGGGATCCCTTTGGGTAGCTTGATTCTACGAATACGTGTTGAAGGGGATGGAATTTTGGCATGTAGAGGTTAAGAACGACTGGAGCTGAACTCGGAAGCAGTTATTGAAGTTAAGAATGATTATCCCGGATAGGTTCTATTAGACCCGAACACTGTTGTTGCCAAGATTTGGGAAGCCGCACAACTTGGTTTGGCGTACTTTTCATGTTCCGCTACATTCTGTGATTTCTTGGATGGCCATGCTGAATAAGTTGCCTACAAGGGATAGGCTACCATCATTTGGTCTCCAAATTACAAGGAGTTGTGTTCTTTGCGATGATGAGCGAGGGACCATGTTTTCTTTGATTGCTCCTACTCTAAAGCGGTGTGGTCTGCAGTGTCGAGTGCTTGTAGTTTGCAGTGGAGGGCCATGGACTGGGATTCAGAGGTTGGGGAAGTCTTTGCTTAAGGGGAAGTCTTTGCTTGCTGTCATCTTAAAATTTACGTGGAACTCAGTTATCTACTATGTCTGGAGGGAGAGGAACGCCAGGATATTTCAGGGCAAGTAAGTTCAGGTGTTAGAACTGGTCTGGAAGACATTATTTATTCAAAAAATAAAATAAGAGCACGATAAGTTGAGAGGCAAATATTATTTATCCTACTTTTAAAGATGATTTTAATTTCAATTTTAAGAGATGGAGGAATTGGGCCAACAAACAACATTATTGTAGTTTACAGTAAAACTAAAAAGAGCCCACTCAAACGGTGATAACAGGAGCGGTGATGGTGTCCGCAATATAGTCTAGGGCACTACTTGTATATTAGGCATTGTAATTTTTATATGAAAATGTACATTACTTGAATATAATAATGGTAATTTAGAAATATTTTTATAGGTACAAATATATAAATATTAATAATATAAAATTTTTATATAAGATAAACATAAATAGTTTTTTTTAAATATTAATCAAATAAATAGTTATGAAAAAGAATTAATTTTAAAATAGATACATATTAGTTTTCTCTTTAAGGATAGATCCGTCAGCATTTAAATACATGAGTTAATGTTTATCAATCAGTATATTAATGTTATGTTTTAAGTTTGAGCTACATAATGTGTATGTATTATTTATTAATTACAAAAATTCTAAAAAAATAATATATTATAAACTATAATCATTTTGTATTATTTCAAAAAATATATTATTAATTAAGTTTATACTGTATTTATAACGATTATTTTTTTGACAAATATTTATAACGATTATTTAAATCGTGATTAATATAAAATATTGATTTCGATTCTAGACAATCAACCACCTTCTATAAGAAAAGTGAAAAAGTTGTGGCGTCGAGTAATTTACAGCAAATTAATTCACAAGAAAAGAAAGAAAAGAAAAGAACCTTGAATTTGAACAAATCTGCCATATTTTACAGATCAATCTCTGTCTCTTAGCTTCTCAGCTTAAAGATCAGATCTGTCCTCAAATAGTCTTGCTGTTAACTCGAAACCCTTGAAAGGTACTATAGTTTCTCCTTGTTTTTTTTTCACTGTAAGAAACTTTTGTTATCGGATTTATAGATCTTCTTCTTGATCGTTTTCAGCTTTAGCCGAATTCTGCTTTCAAGATTTTTCATGTCACGTTTTCGAGTTTTTTATAGACTGGGTCACTATATTTTAGCATTTACTAGGGTTTCTTCTTATCCAAATTTGTTGCAATTAGTGCGTGGTTTATATCTCCCCTCTCACTCTCTAACCCTATGCTTGTATGCTTAGAAAATGAAGGAAAATGTGTAAAATTGACTTAGGTAACGTTGTTGTTCGGCTTTCTTAACTTTTATTAATCTTTTTGGGATTATTGATACTTTTTTAGGTGTAAAATCTTCTGAGATAACATGGCAATGATTGATGAACCTTTGTACCCCATTGCGGTGTTGATTGATGAGCTCAAGAATGAAGATATCCAGCTTCGTTTGAACTCGATCCGTAGGCTCTCTACTATTGCTCGGGCGCTTGGAGAAGAGAGGACACGGAAGGAATTGATTCCTTTTCTGAGCGAGAACAATGATGATGATGATGAAGTTCTCCTTGCCATGGCAGAGGAATTGGGAGTTTTCATTCCTTATGTTGGAGGTGTGGAACATGCTAATGTATTGTTACCTCCATTGGAGACTCTTTGCACTGTTGAGGAAACTTGTGTGAGGGACAAGGCTGTGGAGTCATTGTGTAGAATTGGTGCACAGATGAGGGAACAGGACTTGGTTGAGTACTTTATTCCACTTGTGAAGGTTGGTTTCTGATTTGTGTTACCATTTTTCTTATGCATAATGTATTATATATTCAATTGTTTGACATGCTTATTGAGATAGAAATTAGGAATTTAAACCGTGGATGTGTTGCAATCTGGATGCATGATATAGTTTTTCTATCTTCTTTTTGAAACAAGGAATGACATGTATTTCATCAATTACGAGGCCATGTTCTTAAAAATATTATGCTGGTCTGCTGTAAACTATCGGCTAGGACATGTTATTCTTGATATATGCTTGAATTAGTTTTTAGCTGTAATCCTAAGTAACAAAATTAAAAGTAGGATCACATTTCATTTGAATGTGGTTGTCAAACTTTCAGAGATTGGCTGCTGGTGAGTGGTTTACAGCTCGAGTTTCCTCATGCGGATTATTTCATATTGCATACCCTAGTGCTCCTGAGGCACTAAAAACTGAATTAAGAGCGATATACAGTCAGCTTTGCCAAGATGACATGCCCATGGTTAGGAGATCTGCTGCGACCAATCTTGGAAAATTTGCTGCTACTGTAGAAGCACCTCACTTGAAGGTTGATATCATGTCTATGTTTGATGATTTGACACAAGATGGTATGTAGCTTACCTAATTTACCTATTTCATTAAAATTATGATTACTTGTTTTACTTTTAAATTATTGTTGGATATATGCTTTATATTACATTATATGGATAAAAGTGCACGATGTGTGATTTGAGTTAAATAATACTAATCAGAAATCATGAGGGGAGAGCTTATTGGCCTTTATGATGTTTTTCTTCCTTTAGAGAGGATGGTTTTAGGTTTAAACTTGTTGGACGGAAAATGGGGAAAGGGGTAGTTATCAGTTCACTTCTAAGGACTGTTACTTTTTTAATGTATTACAAAAAGAAATCTGGCCATTTTGTGATTTTGTTACTTTCTTTATACTTTGATAACTTCAAGGTTTGTTTATGAGCAATGGCCATGGGCTGTCACCCAAAAGAATTATATCATAGTATATTTGAGCAGTTTTATCAACACAGGCCTCTATAACCTTTTTTTTCTGCTTCATTCAGAACACTTTTGTCAAATAATGATGAAATTTATCTATTTTTGCATGCTTAAATAATCACCCTGTATCTCTATAACTTATCCCTGATTTTACATGCTCATGTATTTTATTGTGCATGTTTAGTTTTCCGGTATTGTTGCAAAGTTCATACTTGCAGGGTTTCGAAAACTTATTTTCTCCTTTTTCATCCCCGCAGATCAAGATTCTGTTCGCCTATTGGCTGTTGAGGGTTGTGCAGCTCTTGGAAAGTTGTTAGAGCCCCAGGATTGTGTCGCACATATTCTCCCTGTCATTGTCAATTTCTCACAGGTAGATCCTGTTGTCTAAGTTCATTGCATCTCTAGAAAACTTCTGAAAGGCATGTCTCCCCTCTATCACAATGTAGTTATTGAGGAGGTTGGAACTTCTTTCACCCATTCCTCCTAAGGTTGAAGATGAAACTTAGCCACTGTTCTTCTGAACGCACGATGTTCTTGGATCTCAGCTGTTTTAAAAAGCACTAGTGTCATTTTTCATCTTGCTGGCATGACCAATATTGCATCTGTAAAAAAAGTTCCAGATATCTTTGAATAAAAATATGTTATCACTCTCTATGATTCCACCACAAGTAGCATGGTTACCATTTTTTCATGAGGGCCTTCAATCTGTGTTTCACTGCCCTAGTGGAATATCTCATATCATTTGTTCAGTGTTTTTTACTATCTTTTGTTCAGTTTGTAGAATGTATCCTCTATTTATGTTTGGTGCACATATTTTGAATGATTTCTAGTTAATTTAAGTCATTATATCTGGTTCTTCTCAATTCTCACAAATTTGAAGTGAAATTAAATGGAAATTATTGTTCTCTTCATTTTTACCTTTCTTCTTTTTTTCCTTTT